AACCTGTGGGGTTTCCACTGAAAGCCAACACCCCTGCGTAGTTATGGGGACCCGGGTCCCTAACCAGATGGGAGCGTGTGTGACTTGAAGATGACAGGGGCCCGGATTGCGGCGTTGGGTGCCCAGGCCTGGCCTGTAATACAGGGACGATGGCTGGGCTGACGGGGGAGGAGAGGACAGAGGGACACTCCCTGGGCAGCTCATTTCCAGAGACCCTTAGGTGGAGCCCTCACCCACACAGGTGGGGGTCCCCGAGCCCTCTCAGAGCAGGACAGGGGGCTGCGAGGGCCAAGGTGGGACCTGCTGTGGGTGACGGGGGGCCCCACTGGGCGCTCTCCTGTAGAGAGAAGCGTCCGCACTTGTGGGCAGCACCCTGCAAGGCCCCTGTGCTCGCCTGGAGGCCTCCATGCGCTCAGTGCTCACCTGAGACTCGGGGGGCGGTGCAGGGCTCATGAGGAACTAGGGGGTCCCTGCCCAGACTGTGAAAGTCACGTCTGCTCTGCATTTACTGCACGTAACTATTGCTGCTCCTTTGCTGAGAACTTTCAAGGAATAGTTTCATATGTACATTTAATTTACAAACATTTATGACTTTAAAGTTAATTTTGTTAATATTTTAATTGGTATTATATTAAATCTATAAAAATAACTTTTTATTACTATTAAGTTTCTTATAAAAGATGCTTCAAAAGGATTTTTTGCTTCAGACGCATTTCAGTTTTATTCATAAAATTGTCCCCGCTCATAGCTCAAGAATCGGTCCAGGGCTCCACGTGCGTAGCCCTGGGAGAGCCCGGGGTCCTGGGTCCCCGGCGGCCGCAGTGGGAGCTCCCGTGTCCGGAAGGGGTGGCTTCGCGGGTCATGTCCCGCAGTGAGCAGCGACACGGTGAGGCTCCGTTTCGGCAACGAGAGACCCTATTTCTGCCGAACCCTGAATTCCGCGGCGGAGCCAAACTGCCCCAAAGTGGCTCAGAGGCAAAGTGTGACCTGGAGAGGCCCCGGCGGCGCAGGGCCTCCGGGGACACAGACGGGCTCCTCCAGCAGAGGGCTGGGGGGAGCAGCTGCGCCCTGAGGAATGGGGGCGTGATGGGGGCGCTGGGCTTGAGTGGCCCCAACTCCTCACCAGCCCCACTTCTCCCTGTGTCGCAGGAGCAGCCGACGCCGTGGGCCCATCACAGAACAGCTCGGGCCCCAGGAGTGGTGAGTAGGAGGCTCTCGGTTACGGGGTGCAGGCGGCCATGTCTTTTCAAGGGGAGGGGGTGCCCTGGGTGCACATCCAGGACTCTGGGGTCACCTTGGCCTGTCCTGACCTCTGTGACTTTGCCCGCAATGCCCAGCGCCCCGGCCCCAGGACTACACCGTGGGGAACGTCGTCCGCTTGGGCGCGGCGGGCCTGGTCCTGGCGGTGCTCGGGGTGCTGCTGTTCCAGGCTCGAAACAGCCCAGGGGGGACCCACGACGCAGCCGGGACGTGAGCACCGAGGAGACCACACGCTGTTCGCAGGGGGGAGCCTTGGAAATGAGTCTCACGTGGCCGGAAGGTTCTGGAAGAGCACCTGGGACATGGGCTGTGTGACCTGTCTGCAGGTCACTGCAGGTGCAGGGACAACGTCTGGACCCTTCTCCCCCTGAACTGGTCTCCAGTCCCTCCGACCGCTTTGAGTCCCCGACTGGTTCCTGACTTTCCCCGTTTCGCTGAAATCAGCATTTTCCTGCCCGGCAGGCTGGGGTCCCCACCTCCCCTCACTGTCAGGGGCACGTTCTCCTTTGTTTCTAGTTACACACCTTGATGTAAGCAGGGAGCCCCCACGTCCCCAGTTCAGGGCCGCCGCCTGTTTTAATCCATCGATAAGGTGCCAGGACGAGACGGCGCCCGCAAGAGGGAAACCCACAGGCCGTCCCAGCGCCCCTGGGCTCCGCACGCCCCGCTCCCCTCACACCCGCCTGTGTGCTTTCTGCACAGCCCCTCCCCTCGGAGCCAGGACCGCGCTGTCTGCAGGGGCCGCCTGGTCTGCGCTGCCCCCGAAGACCCGGCGTCCCGGACACAGGGCGGCACAGAGGATGTGCCCCGGGAGCGCCCCGAGAGCGTCACCCCAATAAATCTCATTTACTAGGACACTGATTCTTGGCACTCGCCAGTTTCTCTGTATCCACGCGCCTTCGTGGCCGCCATCGAGGGGCCCACGTTGTTGCCAGACGGGGACCAGCCCTGAGCGGGTCTGCCTCGGGCCGGCCTGTAGTGTGGGGCTTCCTTTTATGATTAATAATAATATGTATATTTTATTGATTTCACGGAGGGGAAGGGGGAGGGAGCGAGGGAGAAACATCAATGATGAGAGAGACAAGGACCGGCTGCCTCCTGCGCTCCCTCCTGCGGTGGAGCAGCCCGGCCTGGCCCTGACCGGGAATCGAACCCTGAGCTCCCGGATGCTAGGCCGGCGCTCAGCCGCTGGGCCACCCGGCCGGGCCCCTTGTGGGTTCTTGACTCGTGTAGAAAATATTTCGGAACAGGGTCCAGGGGGCTCTGGGAGCGTTCGGTAAAGCTGGGGACCGTGAAACACAGGAAGAGCTCGGGGAACCGGCGCAGCAGGACAGCCTGGCGGTGCCCCGCGTCGGCCGGAGGGCTACAGGACAGGAGTGAGCAGGGGGACGGTCCTGCCCGCGCCAGCGCGGCTCCGCAGACGCCCCG